ACAATGGATGTCGGGACTTTGAACAGTATAAACAATTTTCATGTCTTATTTGTAATAATAATTCCATTTTAGTCAAAATGAGGAAAGAGTTGCATCAAAAAATTGCGTTTTTTAGAGAAGAGGAGAAACAAATAGTAGACGAAAACAAAAGAGTCGGTCCACCAAAAATTACAATGGACTGTTTTAATTGAATTATTTGTGAGGGCTTATTGTAAAACTGCTTTAATTGAGACAATAAATAGTAAATCATTCGTTGACAAAATCACATTCAATATTTTTGTTTTATTTATTTTTAAGACGCCTAATTAGGAACTAATTTTTTACAAAATTAATAACTGTAGAAGTTGTGAGACATTTCGTGTTTAAAGAAGAGATAAAAATTTAATTTGTAGCGATTTCCTTAGGGGGATCCTACAGGAAACTTGGAAATATGTTAACTTCAGGTTGGTATTGTTTGCAATTGAAAACTGTTATGTTGGTGCACCTGGATGGGTCTTTTTCGAGTACCATGTGATGAGTGATGACATGAGTTCTTCCGTCACACCAATTCTTGAAAAGTGGATATAAAAAGTATGAAGGAAATACCTAATCAGTGATTTAGGTAGAGCTAAAGAAAACCAAGAAGAAGTTGTGTGACAAGATTTCGTTTTTAAAGAAGAAAAAAAAACAAATAGTTGATGAGAATAAGAGAGTTGGGCCAGCAAAAGTAACAAAAGATGATTTTAATTGATTTATTTTATTGTAATAAATGTATTTTCACAGTAATAAGTTTTTCGTGGCCAATTGTGTAACAGTTTTTATTTACGTGGCACGAAACGTCAAAAAAGCGCCATCTTATGGCAAATTATATTTTACTCAATAACTCAATATTGCACAATTATTTATCATTATATACATTGTAAAATCCAATTTTAACTAACAAAAATCATTACTTTACACTCCAAGGTTTTAAAATGGTTGTCGGTAAGTGAAAATGTTTGGTTATGTCACTCTCTTTAACTCTTGATTTTTCACAGCTGACGGCTTTTCGCCCCATAATAACACCACCCGTAACTTTTTTAGCGATTTTCACGCCTTGCAACGTCTCAATGTTGCGCCCCCGAAGCCGGATTTGCCCGCCAAGTGAGTAAAACAGCCCCCTTATCTCTCAAATTTTCGTTGTTTTTTCAGACAAAAGGTGGCTCGATTGTCCCGTTATTTCAAATATGAGAATCCGGGACCTGGGCTAAGATGTGTCGTATACATGGAACATATCAAAAAAGTGTTCAAGACGCATTTGAGGGAGATTGTGAGTGAGGTTTTCCTGGAGGATGTGGTCACAATGTGTGTGCTACAAGTGTTGAAAGACTTCGCGAGGGACAAGAGTGAGATTAGGGGCGTTTTGAGGAAATTGCCTCAAAGACAGTTGGGGAAAATCAAGGAGGAATTGGAGTACATCTGTGACAACCTTCCACCTGATTTTTTCAAAGTTGGACAAGATTTGAGTCGGTTTGTGAGATCGGATGTTAAAAAACCGGCCGAGAAGGAGCTCGACTTAATTTTTTACATCCCAATGAGCGAAAATGAGCCTTGCATTGAGGAGGAAGTTGAGGAGCTGAGTCTCGCAGCGGCTGCCTCAACTGGGGCCCCCTACAACATAAAAAGACGCTACGACTACTACAAGACCAAAATGGCGGAATTTCCGTTTGAGGAATTCAAAGAAATCGTCCTCACTGGAATAACATCCCAGAAATCGAACGAGGAACTCCTCAATTACTTCCTTGACGTTTTCGGGTGCGAAGTATTCGAATTTCTGAACGAAATAATCCAACACAGATTCGCCCAAATCGAGTGGAGCGACGGGGAAAAACCGGCCCCAAGTCAGCGAAGACTCGAACCAAAAATAGTCAATCGCTATACACCGGTCTTGGCCAGTCAAGTGATCGTGCAAAGCGAAGAGGAGAAAAACTTAGCTAAAACATTACGGAAAATCGAGCGCAAACAAAAAGGGGCCACCCAACCCGAATTCTTGTAAGTTTATTGTGCTTAATTACAGGGTTCTGTATTACCGACTTGTAGGAATGAGCTTGAGGACGATTTAAATTACATGAAACACCAACCGATTTTCAAAAAAGGGCCACAAACTGTCGATTATCCGCACGTTCACGACCAGTTGCGCAATATTTCGATCACTAGTGAGTCATTTTTGAGGTTAGGTTTTCAAGGGGGTTAAAATTTGTCTTACAGCTAAGTTTAACGGTGTCACGTTGAAACAGCCCGAGAATACGGTTAAAAAAGAGACTAATACGCATGTTGAGTTTACTCTACCGGGGGGCAAACGGCCCAAAAACGACGATATTGATTTGGTCAAAGTCAGTAGTTTGGACCCCACTGGGCGCTTAGTTTTCAAAGATATCAAGGAGTTTAACCGGATTCAGTCGGAGGTGTTTCCGGTGGCGTACAATACGAACGAGAATATGCTGATTTGTGCCCCCACGGGGGCTGGGAAGACCAATATTGCGTTGCTGGCGATCGTGCACCAGATCAAGGTCCACATGGACGGGGGGCTGATTCGCAAGGATGATTTCAAGGTTTGGGTCAATTTCCACGTCAACTGTGTTAATTGAAAGCTTGCAGATTGTCTACGTGTGCCCCATGAAGGCGCTAGCGACCGAAATGGTGTCCAATTTCAGCAAAAAGTTAGCCCCCATTGGCATAGTCGTCAAGGAGTTGACCGGAGACATGCAATTGACGAAGAAGGAAATCGCTGAGACGCAAATGTTGGTTACCACGCCCGAAAAGTGGGACGTGATCTCGCGCAAGGGGGCTGTCGACACCGAAGTGACAAGTCTTGTTAAATTACTGATTCTCGACGAGGTGCATTTGTTGAACAGTGACAGGGGGCCCGTGATTGAAGCCCTAGTGGCGCGCACCCTGCGCCAGGTCCTGAGTAGCCAAAGCATCATTCGAATTGTGGCCCTTTCGGCCACCCTTCCGGGCTACCTTGACGTGGCCAATTTCCTCAAAGTCAACCCTAATACGGGCCTGTTTTTCTTCGATAACCGTTTCCGGTCCGTCCCCCTCACGATGACCTTCATCGGTGTTAAAAACAAGAACGATCAAGACGCCATGGACCTCATTTGTTACAATAAAATCATTCCGATTATCAAAGATGGCCAACAAGTGATGGTGTTTGTGACGTCACGGAATTTGACAGTTGTTGTAGCGAAAAATCTACTCACACATGCGAAAAATAATAATATTTTGAGTAGTTTTATTCCTGATAAGAAACACCGAATTGGGAAGAATTTTAAAAGTAGTGAATTGGAATTGTTGGTACCGAATGGGTTTGGGGTGCATCATGCCGGTATGTGTCGGAGTGACAGATTGGAAGTTGAGAGTTTGTTTCGTGTGGGGGCGCTGAAGGTCATTGTGTGTACTACGACTCTGGCTTGGGGGGTGAATTTGCCGGCGCATGCGGTTATTATTAGGGTAAGCACAACGATCTTTTTTTTGCTACTTGTCACGGCCAAAATAACATCAATTTCGATCTATTTTAGTGATTTTTTTGCTTGTTTTACCGAAATCTCTCTAAAAAAATGTGGTTTCTAGCTCAAAAACACAGCATTTTCAATTAAGTTGGTGATTTTTCGACTTATTATTAACAAAAAATGCGCTTCTGACTGAAAAATGTGCAATAATGATGTCATTTCATAATGTCTTTTCCTTTTTCTTTTTTTTTGTTTACGTTACCTAGATCGTTAAAAACATGCTAAAATGTTCAAAAATCAAATAAACTAGGTTTTTATCTTAAAAATGTGCTTAAACTCTTAAAAAGGAGCTATGACACCATTTAATACTTAAATTGGTGTTTTTTCTGTTTATTTCTGACGAAAATTTGCGAAATAAGCGCGTTTTTTGTCTGAAAGACCTTCAAAATGCTTGAAAAGGACAAAAATTATACCATTTTTGCTCAAATTTGCTAATTTTTTTGCTTTGGCTTAGCAAAATCTTTCGAAAAAAACATAGTTTTTACATCAAAGAATCTATCTTTTAAATACTTGAAAATACTTGATTTTTCGGCTTTTTTTCAAAAAAATGCGCGTTTGGCTGAAAAATGTAAAAAAGGTAATAATGATGTCATTTTCGGCCTAATTTTATAATTTTTGGATACGTGTTTTACCTAAATTTCACGCAAAAATTCTGTTTGTAATTTAAAAACGCTGGAAAGACAAACATTTTTTATCTGATTTTATCATGTTTTTAACCATTTTTTTGAAATCTTGCGAAAAAACTGGGTTGTTATCTTAAAAATGTTCTTGAAACACCATTTCAAACATAAATTGTTTTTTTTTCGGCTTATTTTTGACGAAGTTTTACGAAATAAGAAAGATCTTCAAAAAAAATGCCTGAAAGTGCAGAAGTATTGCCATTTTTGACCAAATTTGGTAATTTTTGCTTTGGATTGACGAAATCTTGCGAGAAAAATGAGTTTTTAGTGTCAAATACTTGAACATCGCAAAAATATCGCCATTTTTAACGCTGATTTTTTAGCTGGTTTTTAACAAAAAATAATTTGTTTGTATATTTTACTAAAATCTCTCGACAAAAACTAGATTTTTAACCTAAAGACGTCCTAAAACTCTGAAACAAAGCAAATAAATGTTGTTGAGTAAAATTTGTGTTTTTTTATCGTTTTTTTGAAACCTCGTGAAAAAAACTGTGGTTTTAGCTCAAAAATAAACTTGGCAAAATTTTGTGACATAATTGCGTTTTTCGCTGAAAAATGGAATTAAATCTTTTAAAAATGTAGAAACCATCTTTACTTTTAGGCAAATTTTTTTTGTCTGTTTTTGACAAAAAAATGTTTTTCCGACTGAACAACAAGCTAAAATGTTCAAAAAGGGAAGAAATTATGTCATTTTCGTGCTAGTTTTGTGCTTTTTTTATTTGTTTTTCCGAAATTTCCGGAAAAAACTGGGTTTTTAACTTAAAAATGTGCTTAAACATTCGAAAAATCCAAAAATAATGCTATTGCGTTTTTTCGGCTTGTTTTTGACGAAATTTTGCGTTTGTTTCTGACTGAGAAATGTTCTAAAAAAGGCACAAAAATGCTATTTTTTAATAAATTTGATGATTTTAGTGATACTTCGCGAAAAACTGACTTTTTAACCTAAAAACGTGCTTAAACGTTTTAAGAAGACAAAAATAGCCCCATTTTCGCCCTAATTTTGTGGTTTTTCGTTTTTTTTTTTTTTTTGTTGAAATTTTGTGAAATAACTAATTTTTGCCTAAGGAAACAAAGATTCTATTATTTTTGACTCAGTTTAATGTTTTTTCGGCCTGTTTTAACGAAATTGGAAAAAAACATTAGTTTTTAGCTTAAAAATATGCTAAAACGTTTGTCACAATTTTGTGATTTTTTGATCTGTTTTCCGAAACCTTACGAAAAAACTGGGTTATCAGTTTAAAAATATTCTTAAATTTTGAAATATCTCCCAAAAGTGGGATTTCATCTCAAAAACGACCTTAAATGCTCAAAAAAAGCAATAATATTATTGTCTTTAACCCAATATAATATTTTTTGGGCTTACTTTTAATGAAATTTTGAGCAAAAAATGAAAAAATAATCCTATTGTGGACTTAATTTGGTGATTTGTTGGTCTGTTTAGCAAAATCTATCGAAAAAAGTTAGTTTTTAGCATAAAATTTGGCGAAATAATTGCGTTTTTAGGTGATAAATGTAAAAATTATGACATCATTTGAGTTGTAGTAGAAAACGCCAAAATCGCTTGAGAATTCGAACTGTTTTGATGGGTTTTTGCCCTTTTTCCGACTTATTTTTGACCAAATGTCGCGAAAAAGGTGATGAAGTACTCAAAAAAGCAAAATAATGTGATTTTAACGAAATCTGATGAGTTTTTAACTCAAAAACGTGCCAAAACTTTCGAAAATTATTGTTTTTTTAATCATTTAATACTTCCGTAATGGACATTTTTTGGTGTTATGTAGTACAAAACATTTTTTGACAGTCCTGTTTTTTCTATTTTTCTTAAAAACATTTTTTTTATACAAAAATTACTCTCTTTTTGTTTTTATGATTCTGATTGGTTGTTTTAAGGGTACGACTCGATACGACGCCCAAAAATCCTCATACGTCGACATGGACATGTTGGACATTCAGCAGATTTTCGGACGTGCGGGAAGACCTCAATATGACACTTCCGGTCATGGTATGATCATCACAAGTGTCCAAAATATGGCCAACTATATGTCCCTCCTAACCTCACAAGCCCCAATCGAAAGCCAATTTTTGAACAACGTACCCGACCATTTGAACGCCGAGATTGTCCTAGGGACAGTATCGAATTTAAAGGAGGCCATGGAGTGGCTAACCAACACTTTTGTTTATTGCAGAATTAAGAAAAATCCCCTGGTTTATGGACTAACCTTCACGGAGATTTGGGTTGGTTTCACCCATTTTTAAAGGTTTTTTTTTTCCCCAACTTAAATTTCAGGAACCCGAAAAGCTGTTTCAGTACCTCGAACGCAAGCTTTTCGACGCCGCCTCCACTCTAGAATCGGCCCAAATGGTCCGTTTCAACCCCACATTGGGCGAACTCCGCCCTACCAACTACGGTCGCATCGCCAGCTTCTACTACATCTCCCATCAAACCATGAAATACTTCCATGACCATTTCGAGCGTACCATGGTCGAAGCTGACATTCTTCACCTTATTAGTAACGCATCGGAATTCCAACACATCCAAGTCCGAAACGACGAACTCGACGAACTTGATCGCCTCCACGAGGAGTACAGCCAGTTTGAATTCAATCTCGATCCGAGCGCAGTTGTTTTTAAAGTTTTGGTTCTGATCCAGGCTAACATATCACGAGCGAAGATTCGAGTCTCATCGCTCGTTTCCGACTGCGAATTTATAATGCAAAGTGTGACACGACTCGCGAGAGCGTTATTCGAAATCGCCGTGGATAAAAACTACGCTTTACAAGTTTGGAGATGTTTGCAAGTGGCACGAATGGTGGAGCAACAAGCGTGGACAGATAGACATCCATTAATGCAATTTAAAGAATTGGAAATTAAAGGTCATAGAGCACTTGATGTTTTGCAACATCTACCGATTGAGGAATTACAAGAAATGAGCGAACGTGAAATAATGGATTTGATTAGAAGTAGACATTTAGCAAGTCGGGTTCAGCATTTTTGTAAAGCGTTTCCACGTCTTGATCTTGATGTTTCGGTTAAACCGATTACAGAGGGCGTTATTCGGTTGCAATTGTTGATTGGTGCTAACTTCAGTTGGGATACTAGTATCCATGGTAATGTGCAACACTACTATGCGTGGGTGGAGGACCCAACACATGATAGTATCTATCATTTTGAGTCGTTTATTATCACTAAGAAACAAGTGATAAGTAAGGAACCAATAGAATTGATTTTTACGGTGCCTCTACAAAAACCACACTCGAACGAGTATTTTGTCACAGTTGCCAGTAGCAAATATATGGGTAAGTCATTTGTTACTAGATTAAGTTGGGATACTGGATTTCAATTATTTTCGATTTTTGTTTTCTTTTGAGTGATAACTCGTATTTTTGTAAAAAACAATATGTAAATGGGAGAAAATCGTACTTAAACGCTGGAAAAATGCAAAAATAACATAGTTTTGTGCTTGTTTTTGACAAAATTTTGTCATTTTTGGCATAAATTTGGTTGAATTTAGCGAAATGCTAAGGCAA